GAATCTGCAATCCAGAATTTTTTTCCCCTCCACCCCCCCCCCCCCCCCACCACCACCCCGCTCCTCTCCAGCTATTGCCCTTCAAATGTGACAATAGCCTGAAAGTTAAGTATCTGCAAAGTTTTGTACAAACATGTGAAAGAGAAAAAAATTCTGGATTGCAGATTCAGTGAAGTTTAGTGAACGTTGATGGTAAAACTGAAGAAAGTGTGTGTGCAATAAGTGAGGAGCTCTAAGTAAATTTAACTGTGCTTTGATTTAGCTGTTTGCTTGGAGATGAGTTCGAGGGAACCAATTCCAAAACCAATGGTCATCCTCCCATTTATGAAATATGGGGATTTGCACAGCTTCCTACTGCGCTCGAGGCTCGAAGAAAATGCTGATGTAAGTGAAAAAGTGCTTGTCCTCAATATTTTCATTGTGCCATTTGGAAGACTGTGAGGTCGTAAAACTCATTAATGTACTTCCAGGGAGCTACAGTCTGGATCAGATAGTAAAGAAACTGTTTGAAAAACATGACAAAGGAGGATTGAAAATGACCAAGGGAAGAAACACGGTTGATTTAAACTTCTCTTATTTAATGCTGCCTTAGGCTCCATGCACCAACTAATTACCTGCACTCATTGTGCTTGAATGTTCCGAAGGAACCTTGGACAAAATGATTTCAGGCTTTTACATGAAAAAAATTCTAAGTGATAGATCTGCACATCCTTGTTTTGAAATCAGCCCATGGTCCTATCTTTGTAACCTACTACATTACTCTATGACCATCTGAGATATCTGCTGTCCTCTCACACTGAGACATGGGTTTACTTGCTCCAAATTTAACAGGGTGTGGCTTCAGCTACTCAGGCACACAACACCGGAATTCCCTCCGTAAACCTCTCTGTCTCAACCTCTTTCCTCTTTTAAGACAACACTCAAATCTATTAAATAGGAGCATAAGTAGGACATATGGCCCTTCAATCCTGTCCCACCATTCAGTAAGATCATGGTTAATCTGTTTGTGATTTGTATTTATGTTTTGAACACGTCTTAAAGCCTACCTCTTTGACCAAACTCTTGTTGACCTACCTTTAATGTCTCCTTACGTGGCTCTGTGCTGAGATTTCATTTTATAACACACCTTGACTACCGCAGGGATCAGTGCTGGGCCCCTAATTATCTGTGATATAGATTAATGACTTGGATGATGGAAGTGAATGCTAGTGTCACAAAGTTTGTGGATGACACAAAAATAAGTAGGAAAGCAAGTAGTAAGGATGACCCAAAGTCTATAGAGGAGTATGTGGGAAAATGTAAGGAAGGAAGAGGAGCTGAATATTATTTAAATAGCGAAAGCGCAGAAAGCTCAAGCATAAAAGGATTTAGGAGTGCTTGTGCTTAAATCAAAGAAAGCTCGCATCCAAGTAATAGAGAAGGCAAATAGAATATTAGCATATATTTCAAACAGAATAGAGTATAATATTAGGGAAGTTTTGCTAAAATATTCAAAGCCGCATTTAGGCCCACTCATCTGATGAAAGCTTTACTGGCATTGGAGACAGTCCAGAGAAGTTTCCCTCAATTAATCCCAGGGTTGGAGAGATTTTCTGATGAGGACAGGTTGAATAAGTTGAGCACAGGCTCATTGGAGTTTGAGTTGAAGATTGAGTGGTTACCTTATTGAAATATAAAACACTCTTAGTGGACTTGACAGAGCAGATGCTGGGAGGTTGTTTCCCTTGTGGGAGCATCTACAACTGAGGGCATAATCTCAGACTAAGTGGGTTGCCCAGTTAGGAGAGAGATGAGGGTGAATTTCTTCTGTCAGAGAGTATTGAAACTGTGGAATTCTTTACCACAGAGGGCTGTTGAGTCTGCATCATTAGGTTTATTCAAGGCTGAGATGACTTCTTTTATCATAAAGGGAATTGAGGTTGTGGGAAAAAGGCAGGAAAGTAGAATTGGAATTATTAGATCATTGAATGGCAGAGCAGACTCAATAGGCCGAATAGCCTATTTCGGCTCCTCCATTACATGGTAAAGCCTCTTTGGATTTTTTTTAAATTTTAAGAACACTATTGCTGATATAAACCATTTGCTGTGAATTTTGTTTTCCAGTATTTTCCACAACAGACATTGCTAAAATTCATGATCGACATTGCCAGTGGAATGGAATACCTCAGCAACAGGAATTTCCTGCACAGGGATCTAGCAGCCAGAAACTGCATGTGAGTAAAGGTTATCATGGTACGGATTTGCCCGTGTTCCTTTGTGGGTGTGTGTATTTGGATATGCATGCCCCTTTACCTTTACTGCTGCCTGATCCTCCTCCTCATGTTTATAATATCTAGACTTTCAGAATAATTTTTAGATCTGTTTCTTTCATTCGTATGTTCAATGATTGTTTATATTCTCCAATTCTACTTTTAAACAGTGCCAAGGAATCAAACTAACTGCTGCTGTTGCTTTTTGCCTTGAATTTTAAAATGTTGAACCCTTTCCAAATCCTTCATGAGCTCCGGAATTGCAACATTTTATGAAAATAATTCTCTTGCTTGTTAACACATTGTTTTTATTCCGGTAGCTCTATTTAGTCGCAGTAAAGTTCCTGATAATCACATGACTATTGCACACTGAGGGTGTCCTTTAACTGAACTGGCTTGCATAGGCATTAGCAGTGGACGCAGTGATATCACAAAGGTGTTTTCAAGCCATAAAGACCTTCCTTCAAATTGTAACCCAGCAAACCTGCTAGCTAAGCGGGAAGCATCAATTTTATTTACTCCAGATTTGTGATTATTTTCTTCCTCCTATTTCATGCTGTCCAATTTTTTGTTTACTCTTTCTATCCAAGAATATGTGATAGTCAGAGTAATTCTGATTACTGAAGGAATGAAAAGACTTCCATTCTTGGACATAGCTCTTTACACAACCATAGGATCTTTCAAACTGATTTACAATGAAATGAGGCATTCAAGTGGATATTAAATGACTAATTAGATAGAAATGGTATGCAGGGCTTTGCATTAGGTAATAGAACCTGTATTGGCATGATGGGCCAAGTGGCCTCCTTCTGTGCCATTTCAATTCTGTGATTTTGTGAAATAATTTTGAACTTCAGATGATCATGTCATAGACGAAACACAACGGCTAATTTGTGCAGCGCAAGCTATGCAGTGTGAGGTTGACTAGATTTCTTTTTTAAATATGTTTCTTGAAGGATAAATGTTGACCAGAACAGTGGGGACAACTCTCCTCTGCTCATCTTTGAAATAGTGCCTTTGGAATCCATCATATCTGTTAGAGAGGGCAGGTGGCCTTGGCTTTATGTCTCATCTGAAAAATCTCACACCGGCAGTGTAGCACATCCTCACTGTTACACTGGAGTGTTAGCTTTGAATTTTATGCTCAAGTCCTAGAGTCAGACTTGGACCCAGAATCTCCCAGAGGTCCTACAAACTGAGCTATAGCAATATCCACTAGCTACTGCTTCAAGGCTGCTCATTAGGAAGTCCATAAGGGCCAATTTCTCTGCGTAGCCGCCCTCAAAATTTACGTTTTGCGCTACTGAGTTGGTTAGCCAGGTGTTATTGATTTGAAAAATGTCATAATTGAGAAGTATAAACTATTTATTTATGTAATGATTGAACAGGTTACGTACTGATATGACAGTATGTGTGGCGGATTTTGGCTTATCCAAGAAGATTTACAGTGGGGACTATTACAGACAGGGGCGGATTGCGAAGATGCCAGTAAAATGGATTGCTCTTGAGAGCCTTGCTGATCGAGTTTTCACAATTAAAAGTGACGTGGTATGTTTTTAACAAGTGAAGTAAATATATAAAACTCGTCTTTGTACGTATAATCTGTATGTGTATATCTCTTTAGATATTCACTGTGGCCCTAATCTGTCATATATCACAGTGACTATGATATATTTTCTGTTCTCAACTTGTCTGCAGCTTCTAAAATGGTTATCCAAATTATCTTCAACACCTTGTCTTTGTCACCCAGCTGGTTTCTGTGCTTAGTTAACCAATCATTTTTACTGATTTTCCACCCCTGCACTATCATTTCTCTTGATGCCAAAGGACAGGTTTTTGGCACACTTTTTTATCTGCATGCTGCTGTATCACAACATCACCCACAGAATATGATGTTGCCTTTCGCATAATTATCTGCCCACTCTATATCTCCCAATTCCTCAATGCTGTCAGGCTTTGTCCAACATCCAATCTTGAAATAGCTGTAACAGATGATGCAGTGGTAAAGTCATAAGACTATTGATTCCAGAACCTCCGGGCTAATGTTCTGAGGAGATAATAGGAACTGCAGATGCTGGAGAATCTGAGATAACAAGGTGTAGATCTGGATGAACACAGCAGGCTAAGCAGCATCAGAGGAGCAGGAAGGCTGACGTTTCGGACCTAGACCCTTCTTCAGAAATGAGTGTAGGCCCGCAACATCAGCCTTCCTGCTCCTCTGATGCTGCTGGGCCTGCTGTGTTCATCCAGCTCTACACCTTGTTATCTCTAATGTTCTGAGGACATGGGTTTGAATACCACCATGGTAAATGGTGAAATTTGAATTCAACAAAAATTTGAATTGGGAACTGATCAGGACCATGTAGCTTTGTAGATTGTCATTAAATTCCCATCTGGATCACTAACATCTTTTAGGGAAGAACATCTGCCATCCTTATCTGGTGTGGCCAACTTGTGACTGCAATGTAATTGAATCTTAACTATTCTCTGGTCATTTGGGGATGGGCAATAAACGCTGGCCTGGTCAGCAACACCCGCACCTGGATTAATTTTTAAAAAAACCTTTGTCACACTATGCATGGATTCTTAAGGGGCTTGACAGGATAAATGCTAAAAGGATGTTTCCTCTCATGGGAAAATCTATTACCAGAGGGCAGTTTCAGAATAAAGGGACGCCAATTTAAGACTGAGGTGAGAGGAATTTTTTCTCTCGGGATTGTAAATCTTTGGAACTCCTTCCCATAGAGAGCTTTTGGGGCAGAATTCCTTTGTATATTTAAGGCTAAGATAGATAGATTATTGATCAGTAGGGGAATCAAGGGTTATAGGGAAAGGGCAGGAAGGTGTATGTGAGGAATATTGGATCAGCTGCAATCCTACTGAATGGTGGACCAAGCTCAAGCTGAGCTCCCTACTCCTGTTCGTATTTCTTACTGTCTTATTCGGAAGATCAAAATTATTGTCTTTGCCTACATGATATTCTTGCCACTGTTGCTGTTCTTCTCCCTGACTGGTGTCTCAAACTTAATTGAGCTGTTTGCAACTTTAGTGTTCAACCTGGAGCTGAGCTTCTGACTCTCTGACCTCTGCAAACACTACTTCACTGCTACCATCACTTAGTTCTGATCCTCTGCAGCTGGGTCACTTCTGAACATGATCATCCCACCAAACTCCAGGCCCATCTCCCATCCTGCATTCTCTGTAAACTTCAAAGTATTCAACCTTCTCCTGCCTGTATTCTGTACTGTTGACCCCTGTCTATCCATCATATCCTTCATCCCTGTCCACATTGGCTCCCAGTCCATTCAAAACCTCCTAATTTAAATTGCTCATCCTTCATGGGTTTGTTCCCTCCTGAACTTCCTTGAAAATTCTCCCTGTTCCGCAGCCGCAACCTTTTCCTCCCAAGTCTGGCCATTAACACCTCGCTGTCTGCCATGCCTCTTCATTCCTCTCAAACTTCCACTGTACTCCCTTCCTGCTCCCAACAGTTAGCAGCATGTCCTCAGCCACTTGATTCATACAGTTTGGAATTGCCTCTCTGAAGCCCTCATACTCTCCTCCTCAAGCCATACCCTAGAGACCATCTCCATTCAAGCTTTGGCTTGGACTCCTAGTCTTTCTACCTGCTCAGAGCACCTATTCTTTTTCTGATTTCCTCTCATACCACTAGGATGTTCTTTTTGACATTTTTCTACAGAAGGACAGCATCAAAATTCAGGATGATGCGGTTAAGTAAGAGAAGAAAATTAAGTTAGCAGGTGTATGAACTTTGTATTTTTGTGCACCTCCTACAGACAGTTATTGTGACTGTGCAACTGCTTGGCTCAAAGAGTGAGGAATGGTGTGGGAAACGTAGAAAAACTGAAGCAGTTGTTCATTTTATACTGGATTTTAATGACCTTGGAATGGGTTCAAGGCACTGAAGAGTCAGATTACGTCTTGAACCACAAGAAGCATATTTTTCGACCAAGATTAGATTGCTACCCTGACGTCGCTTTATGCTTATTTTAAAACCCATTACTCTTATACTTTTAACTTGATGTTCTGTTTTTGTGTACTTTTTATGGAAATTTTGGAAGAGATTTTCCAATAAATCTTGCAAGGGGAATCGAAAAGCAATTAGTTCAAATCACCTGATCATGTGACTGTATAACACTTTTCATCACAATATCCTTTTTATGACTCTGATTTTATATCACCGCTCCATATGTTGTCTGAAAGACCTTGTCAACAGCAAGCTCTAAATTTGTCTCTCTTCAGTCTAAACCACATTTTTTTTTTGTTTGACCATCATGATGTAATTTGAAGTAGAATTCTCCGGCATTGTCAGACATTGCTACAGTGACAGATCCCATTGTAGTCTCAGTCCTTGGCATCATTCTTAGTAACTTGTGTTCATTGAGAACCAGAGCAGCTCATATTTCTGTTTGAAATCCACTCTGCCAAAGCATAGTGTAACATTGCTGCACTAGTCACAATGCAGACTGTCATATTAAAAAGGTGAGGGAAGGATGTCGACTAAGGAACAGTGTAACTGGAGTACCTGGGAGGATAGGTTGTTATCACAAGGCTCGACATAATGTGGGCCCCTGTTCCCAGCTAAAATACAGAGGACAGGGGAATTTTTTTGGTCAGTCACACTTTGGCCTTGCAGGTGAAAATACCGAGGATTGCCTGGAAAATGAAAATACCTATGATTGATTTTCTGCACATAATTCATATTATTCAGTCACTACACTAGGCTGAAGAAATAGTCAGTTTGTATTATTGCATCTGTTGCATTTTGTTCAACAAGTCACAATGCTGATATCAGGAAGAATCGTGTGTTCAGTTTGCTGCAGTTAGGTAAAGATGGTTTATTAATAGAACGTGTAAATAGGCTTTGCATGCTTTCCTGTTTGTGGTTAAATACTCTGGTTTGCTTGGAATCCTACCATTTGGTGTGAATTCCACTTTTCAATTAACCAAGCTGAAGTGGAGTGGGTCTCGCTGTCTAGTACTCCTGTACCATCATGCATCAGTTCTGAATGCTGCAAATAATCAAAAGGTGAGCATGTGAAAATGATAAGAATGCAACGATAATAACAATGAAAAAGGACAAGCTTGGCTTTAATGAACAATAAGAAATCAGATGAAGGGGGATTTTAAGATCCAAAGAGAGAGAGGTCAAAGCAGTAGAGCAGTATTGTAACTTAGATAAATACAAACCAAATAGGAAAGGCAAAGAGTTAAATGGCCATAACAAGAATCATTTATTTTTTACAAAGCTCTCTATCTGAAAGTTTGAAGCATTTATAATAAAATCAATGAACAAATAGCACAAATGTGATAACAGTTGAAATGTAATCGCCCAATACAGAGACATAATTGCAAGGTGACAGGCTTGGAAATAAGTGCTACAGTGTACATAACATTCTGAAGATACAGACAGGATAGGAAAGGAGGTGGAGTATCCCTGGTGGTTAAGGATGAAAAAGGACAGGAATGATAAAGGATCTTGGCTCAGTATACCAGGAATTCAAATTATACACATTGAAGCAAAGGATAGCAAGCATCAGAGTACCTGATGGGAGTAGTATACAGGCCCACAAACAGTAATTAAAATACTGGACAGATAATTAAGCAAGATATTATTTGAACTTCTGTGAATGAACAACTTGAATACAATTGAATTCCATATCAGGTTTGGGAATGATATAGCCAAGTCTCAAAAAAGGACCTTAAAGCTAATTACCTGAGTATAAGGGGAGAGCAAATTGTGGTTGATTGATTGAATAGATTACAAGATATAATGGTAAATAAACAGTGTGAATAATTTAAGGAAATGATTGAAAATGTTCAGCAAGCATACGTTTAAATCAAAATAAAAAAAGTCTTAACAAGATACATCCATGGTTTACTGGGAGGTTGAAGATAATTTTGGATTAAAATTATAATAGTCAACCTGAGAATTGGGAGAGTTCTAGAAACCAGCATAAGATGACCAAAAAGCTACTAAAAACTTGAAAATAAATAGACAATAAATTAGACAGGAATATAAAGTCAGATAATAAGTACATTTACAAATATGTAAAAAGAAGATATGTTGCTAAGTTACATATTGATCCCTCAAAAGTAGAGATGAGAAATTGTTATGGGAATCAGGAAATGGCAGAAACATTGAAGGAGTATATTGTGTCTGTCTTCAAAATATAAGGCGCAAATTAGATACCAACGTTAGAATACAATAGAAACTAACCACAAGGTCAACAAAAGTGAGGGATGTCTATCCATCAATCAAAGTTAGGAATTCCACTGATGGGTTTCATCTTGGTATGTCTATTCATGAGGTTACCCCACCCCGGTAAATCAATTAGAAATTTCCCCACACCTTATGTTTTCTGTGCATATATCACAAATGTCACCTGATGCTCGACAGCCATCTTGATGTTCCCTTTTAAAAAATAAAAGGCAGTTTCAGAAGATTTTGGACTAAATATAGCCCTTGTTTAAAGTAATGAATATGACACACCTTTGCTAGGCTTAGCAAGTGAAAATAAAGTAGAAGAGGATGTGTTTAGTGTAGATCTTGGGGTTTGAAGAATAAATGGTGAAGAAATATAGTGTCAGGTTTGTATATTTACTTTGTTTAATTCTTGTATAATTTCATATGAAAATGTGAAATGTCATGGATGTAATTCTTTTAGTTAATAACTGGGAGTTCATATATATTTTCAAGAGTTAACGGTCTCCATTGTGATCGTAATGAGATTTTAAGAAAACATTTGACACCTTAACAAATAAAAGGCTAACAAAATTTAGCCCATGAAATTGGTGGAGTTGTCCAATTGGATCAGAAATTGGCTGAAGGACAGAAAACTGCAAGACATAGTAAATGTTTGTTTTTCAGACTGGAGGCTGGAGGACGGTGCTGCTCCCCAAGGGTCAGTGTGAGGACCATTTTCTCTTTTTGGCTACAATTCAGTTGGATCTTAAATATATTTGAGGCTGAGGTTGACATACTTTTGGTCCCTCAGGGAAACAAGATACGTATGGAGTTTGAAGTAGAAGATCAGCCGTGCGCGTATTGAATCACAGAGCAGCCTTCGTGAGAGGAAGGGAATATGCTCTATTTCTGCTCCTAATTCTTGTGTTCTAATTTTCTTTATTATTCTTCCATTGCATGTGGATGTCGCTGGCAAGACCAGCATTTATAGCCTTTCTCTAATGCAGAAGGTGGTGGTGAGCTGCTTTCTTGAAGTGCTGAAGTCTTTGTGGTGTAGGTGCACCCACAGTGCTGTTAGGAAGGGAGTTCCAGGAGTTTGATATTGCTACAGTAAAGAAGTATTGATATAGTTCCAAGTCAGGGTGCTATGTGACTGGGAGGGGAACCTGCAGTTGACGGTGCTCCCTTGCCTGTCTGTCAAGATGGTAGAGGTCACAGGTGTGGAAGGTGCTCTTGAGGGAACCCTGTGAGTTACTGCAGTGCACCATGTAGATGGTACACTCTGCTGCCTGCCAATATGTGTCAGTGGTGAAGGGAATGAATGTTTAAGGAGGTGGAAACAGTGCTGGTTAAGTGGAATGCTTTGTTGTGGATGCTGTTGAGCTTTTTTTAATTCATTCGTGGAATGTCACATTTCCCATCGCTAATTGATCTGGATAAGATGGTGATGAGCTACCTTCTTGAACTGCTGTCCTCTGGAGGGTATAGGGGCACCCGTAGTGCTATTGTGAAGAATTTTGACCCAGCAACCCTGATGGAACAGTGATACATTTCCAAATCAGAATGGTGTGTGACTTGGACAGGAGAATGCAGCTTCCCATGTACATGCTGCTGTTGTTCTGCAGGGAGGTAGAGGTGGTAAGTTTGGAAGGTGCTGTTGGATGAGCCTTAGTGAATTTCTGCAGTGCATCTGGTAGATGATACACACTGCGGATACTGAGCATCGGTGATGAAGGGAGTGGATGTTGAACGTAGTCGATGGAGTGCCAGTCAAGTGAGTTGCTTTGTCCTGGATGGTGTCAAGCTTCTTGAGTGTTGTTGGAACTGCACTCATCCAGGCAAGTGGGGAGTATTCCGTCACACTCCTGACTTGTCAATGATGAATGGGCTTTAGAGAGTCAGGAGCTGAGTTAGTAATTGCAGGATTCCTAGCCTCTAGCACATTTTTGTAGCCAGTGTTTCTCTCTGGCCACTTCATTTCAGTTTCTGGCCAGGAGTGTTGTTAGATCTGCACCAATCTAGGCAGGTGGAGAGCATGCCATCACATTCATGACTTGCACATGTAAATAGTGATGGTGAGATTTCAAATTACGCTATGTATTAACATCAGAAATCAGAAACCTGTTAAGCACATTGAAAGGTAAAATTGATGAGAATTATATTTAGGTATATTCCTGTAACTATGCATAATTATCTTCCACCATCGAGTGAGTGATAGCTGTTGTCATATGTATGTGTGTGAGTGATGTCTTCTGGAAATTTGATACGTGTATTGGAACAGAAAAGGTTGTCTGTATTTCTACAATTGGTTTCTTGTCAAGAATTGTTTGAGTTTTTCTTTATTTCTTGAATCATTTTGATCTATTATCTAATGACACTGTTTCTGTTTTAATGAGTTTTTTTTCTGTTCCTAGTGGGCATTTGGAGTTACAATGTGGGAAATAGTTACACGAGGGATGACCCCTTACCCAGGAATACCGAATCATGAAATTTATGACTATCTGCATGGGGGCCACAGGTTGAAACAGCCTTCTGACTGCCTGGATGAGCTGTGAGTATGTCATACAGCTATGGCCTCATACATTTTCACAAGAAGCAAATTAACCTCCATTAAACCCAAGTTATCAGAAGTTTGAGAGATAGTAGGAACTGCAGATGCTGGAGAATCTGAGATAACAAGGTGTAGAGCTGGGTGAACACAGCAGGCCAAGCAGCATCAGAGGAGCAGGAAGGCTGACGTTTCGGGCCTAGACCCTTCTTCAGAAATGGGGGTGGGGAAGGGGGTTCTGAAATAAATAGGGAGAGAGGGGGAGGCAGATAGAAGATGGATAGAGGAGAAGATAGGTGGAGAGGACACAGACAGGTCAAAGAGGCGGGGATGGAGCCAGTAAAGGTGAGTGTAGGTGGGGAGTTAGGGAGGAGATAGGTCAGTCCAGGGAGGACGGACAGGTCAAGGGGGCGGGATGAGGTTAGTAGGTAGGAGATGGGGGTGGGGCTTGAGGTGGGAGGAGGGGATAGGTGGGAGGAAGGACAGGTTAGGGAGGCGGGGACAAGCTGGGCTGGTTTTGGGATGCAGTAGGGGGAGGGGAGATTTTGAAGCTTGTGAAGTGCTACACCTGCCCCTACACCTCCCCCCTCACCCCCATCCCAGGTCCCAAGAAGACTTTCCACATCAAGCAGATGTTCACCTGCACATCTGCCAATGTGGTATACTGCATCCGCTGTTCCCGTTGTGGCCTCCTCTACATCGGGGAAACCAAGCGGAGGCTGGGGGACTGCTTTGCAGAACACCTATGCTGGGTTCGCACTAAACAACTGCACCTCCCAGTCGCAAACCATTTCAACTCCCCCTCCCATTCCTCAGACGACATGTCCATCCTGGGCCTCCTGCAGTGCCACAACGATGCCACCCAAAGGTTGCAGGAACAGCTTGGGAACCCTGCAGCCCAATGGTATCAATGTGGACTTCACAAGTTTCAAAATCTCCCCTTACCCTGGACTGACCTATCTCCTCCCTAACTCTCCACCTACACTCACCTTTACTGGCTCCATCCCCGCCTCTTTGACCTGTCTGTCTCCTCTCCACCTATCTTCTCCTCTATCTACCTTCTATCCGCCTCCCCCTCTCTCCCTATTTATTTCAGAACCCCTTTCCCCTCCCCCATTTCTGAAGAAGGGTCTAGGCCCAAAACGTCAGCCTTCCTGCTCCTCTGATGCTGCTTGGCCTGCTGTGTTCATCCAGCTCTACACTGTTTTATCAGGAGTTTGGTTCACTAAGACTTCAAAGGACTTGTGACATATTCAGAGTTCCTACATCTGTACTCCTTATAAAGTGCAGTGCAGTCAATGAGTTGACATTCACATTTAACTTAATTGGTTTTAACTTTCCAATCAGTTCCATCCTGAATTTTTTTTTAAAGTTCTGGAGAAACTCCATAATGCCATAGTATGATAGAATTCAAAATTCAGTTTACGGGTGAGAAAGTGCAGTCCCACTGTAGAGTTCTGAAATTAAACACAGGAAATTACACACGCATGAGGACAAATTTGGGCAGTAAGGCTAAGAGATGAGACAGCGGATGAGCAGTAGAGATAGTAAGAACTGCAGATGCTGGAGTCAGATAACACAGTGTGGAGCTGGAGAAACACAGCAGGCCAGGCAGCATCTGCAGCATAAACAGTGGCGGTTGTTTAAGGAGCTACTCAATTCCTCGCAACTAAAATATATCCCGGTGAGGAAGAAAGATGATAAGGGGGATAAAAAGCATCCATAGCTAAACAAGGAGGCCAAGGACAATATAAAGTCAAAAACTAAGGTTTACCATATTGCAAAGGCCAGTGGCACGGCTGGAGGATTGGGAAACTTTCAGACATAAACAAAGGGATACTAAACAATTAATAAAAAGAGCTAAGATAAACTACAAAAGAAAACTAGCACAGAATATAAAAAAGGATAGCAATAGCTTCTATAGGTATATAAAAGGGAAGAGAGTCGCTAAAGTGAATGTTGGTCCCTTCGAAGATGAAACCGGAGAGTTAATAGTGGGGGGCACTGAAATGCCAGAGATGCTAAATCAATGCTTTGCCTCCGTTTTCACGGTGGAGGACATTAGTAACATTCCTATTGGAACTGGCATGTCAGAGGCAATAGAAAGGATAGAACTTAGAACAATCAACATCGGTAGGGAAAAGGTACTCAGCAAACTGTTAGGATTGAAGGCAGACAAGTTCCCCGGACCTGATGGCCTACATCTGAGGGTATTAAAGGAAGTGGTGGCGGAGATAGTGGATCTGTTGGTTACAATATTCCAAAAGTCCCTGGACGCGGGAAAAGTTCCTGTGGATTGGAAAAGTGCTAATGTAACATCCTTATTCAAAAAGGGAGGGAGGCAGTATGTGGGAAATTACAGACCAGTTAGTTTAGCATCTGTTGTTGGCAAAGTGTTAGAATCAGTTATCAAGGAAGCAATATCAGGACATTTGCAAAGTCGAAACACTATCTGTCAGAGTCAGCATGGTTTTATGAAGGGCAAATCATGTTTGAGGAATTTGCTAGAGTTCTCTGAAGATGTAACAAGCAAAGTTGGTATTGGGGATCCTGTAGATGTAATATGTCTGGACTTCTGGAAGGCATTTGATAAGGTGCCAACAAAAGATTAATTCACAAGGTTGGATCATATGGGGTTAGGGGTAATTTATTAGCTTGCATAGGTGACTGGTTGATGGACAGAAGACAGAGAGTCTCTCTGGATGACAAGAAGTAACTAGTGGGGTGCCACAGGGTTCAGTCCTTAGACCCCAGTTATTTACAATCTACATTAACGACTTAGATAAAGGAAAGAAGGCTCTATAGCCAAATTTGCGGATGACACAAAAATAAGCAGGATGGTGAGCTGCAATGAGGAAATAAAAACCTTACAAATGGATATAAATAGGTTAGAGTAGGCCAAAATGTGGCAGATGGAGTTTAACATGGATAAGTGTGAGATCATGCATTTTGTTTGGAAAAATGGCAAGGTGACCTATTATCTAAATGGGGAGAGACTTCGGGGTGCTCCGGTGCAGAAGGATCTGGGTGTCCTTGTTCATGAGTCACAGAAAACTAACATGCATGTACAGCAGGTAATAAAGAAAGTGAATGGAATGTTGGCATTTATAGCTATTGGTGAGACCACACCTGGAGTATTGTGCACAGTTTTGCTCCCCTTATTTGAGGAAAGATGTAGTGGCATTGGAGACAGTTCAGAAGAAGCTCACCAGATTGATCCCAGAGATAAGGGGTTTGTCGTATGAAAAGAGATTGAACAGTTTAGGCCTATACACTCTGGAATTAGAAGAATGAGGGGAGATCAAATTGAGGTATTCAAGATGATAAAAGATGTGGATAAAATAGACGTGGAGTGGACGCTTCCTGTTGTGGGGCATTCTAGGACGAGAGGTCATAGTCTTAGGATAAGGGGTAGCAAATTTACAACAGAGTTGAGGAGAAACTACTTCTCTCAAAGGGTGGTGAATCTGTGGAATTCACTACCCCAAAGTGCAGTTGGTGCTGGGACAGTAAGTAAATTTAAGGAGGACTTAGATTTTTATTTGGTAATGGATTAAAGGTTATGGGGACAAGGCAGGAAACTGGAGGTGAGGAGCATATTAGCCATAATCGAATGGCGGAGCAGACTTCAATGGGCTGAATGGCCTAATTCTGCCCCTAAATCTTATGAACTTAGTCTGGCACCATTGGTGGAGTTAACACTTCAAGCCTGTTATGACTCCTGTAGTTCTGAGGAAACGTTATGTTGGATTTGAAATGCTAATGCTGATTCTCTCTCCTGTCTGAACTGTTGAGTTTCTGATATTTTGCTTCAGTTTCAGGTTGGCCGTGATCTTATTAAATGCTAGAACAGGCTCAAGGGGCCAAATGGCCTACTCCATTTGTAGTTTGCATGTTCATAATCTTACAGTTTGGATTTTGATAAAATTTAGAGATGGCCTTAAAGCAGTTAAGTACCAATCAGGCAACCTCTTCCAATATGCCTGAACAAGAAAGTGATGGTGTCTGGTTAAAATTTGAAGTGATTTTGTCTGTTTGACTTTAGGTATGAAATTATGTACTCCTGTTGGCGAAGTGATCCTGCAGACCGGCCAACATTTACCGACTTAAAAGTGTTTCTCACCAAGTTTTTAGAGAGTATGCCTAAAATTCGAAGCAAAGAAGAAATCATTTATGTCAATACAGGTAACCCTGAAGAGCAGATTGTTCTGACTGAAGAGCCTACCTTTTCCAATCTGCACCCATGCGATTCCAATGAAACAGAACCCTGCAGTCTAAGGCCTGCAGAAACTACTGTCACTGTGGAAATCCATGAAGCCATGGAAGCAGAAGACAGATACGTCATATCTGGGGTATCTGAAGAACAGTTGAACACGTTAGATGCAAAAACACCTTTGTTGCCTGGAGTGAGCCAAAGTAACGGGACAACATCCCTTGAAACTAGACCCCACTCTGAGGATATTCCTTACGCTGATGATTCATCTGATGACTCTGTTATAATGCTGTAAAGGACTGCTCATGAGCTTTGTGACAATTCTGCCTGTTGCTGGACAGATCGAAAGTACTGCCAGATCCAAATATGTATTTGTACATTTTGTTTTAAGAAAGTAATCAACAAATTTTGATACTTTGACGAAATTCACCAGTATGTTTTTTATTCAGTTGTTAACTCATCTGAAAGCAGTCTTCCCACCAGTCCAATGTTTGGGTCTTGGTGATAAATCAGGGATCATTTTGAAGATTTGTATATTTGTACACAATTACTTTCTAGTTCTGAGGATTTCCAGGGCATTGTAAGAATTGATAGAGTATTTGAACTGTCTAACAAATATTTTTATACTTAACTATTGGAGGCCTTAAAATATGAATTATTTTTTCCCATTTATAACTGTCTCCACATCAATTGATGAGGGCCCGAATTGAATAAAGCAGTGTTCATTTCACATGACGATATCATAGGGAAAGACTATCCAGCCTGTTCTCGTTCATTGCTCGTGGTGAAATCCTGGTTCCTGTTATTCCTTTCACTTGCAAAGAACATATTTCAATGTTCTCCCAAGGTATTTGCCTCACTGATCCATGTGGAAATCGTTTCCAAGTGTATTATTTGAGTGAGGAACAAAGTCCTGATACCACTCCTGAGTTTGCTTTTAAGTATTATATGACAAGTCTTAGATTTTTGAAATTACATTCTGATATTTGATGTTCATTGGTATGTTTCATGTATACTTAATGTTTTAGATCCGGATCACTTTATTTCCTCAAAGTTCATTGGACTGTCCAATCACTGGTGACAATCCATTATCTGCTGGTTAACAAATAGTTAAATGGGTGGTCTCGTGAAAATACTAAAGAACCTTAATTCACAAAACAGGAGATGGTCATTTAGCCCATTGTTCCTGTTCCAGTTGTATGTTAGAGCAATCCAGAGCTTATCCATGAACCTTATCCATCTTTAGCTGATTCCTTATGGGGAACAGTCTCAATGAATAATCAACACCTTTAAAAGCAGCCAGTCTTCAGTTGTGAATCTAGATGATCAATGTCCTTGAGATTCAACCATGGCCAAATGCTCAGCTCCTGGTATCATTTGATTCTAATAAATGACTGGTATTCCCCATTCAAGATGAGCCCTGTATGACTCTGTTGTAGTTATATTAATCAAACTGCTTGGACATGCTGTGACACACCTTCAGAGAAGGTAGGATTTGTACCCGGAACTTCTGGCTGTGGTTCAGCTTTATGTTGTTTAATTTATGTTGATATCAGCTCAGCTCTTTGTTATATTCCTTACAGGAAGTGGTAGTAATACGTTATGCTACTTCATTAAAAATATTTTGTACTTGACATTATTAGGCCCAAACCCCTCCTCCTCCTCAATGGAAGAGGTAAGGGCTTTGCTTAGAAAACTGGACTTTTTTTTGACTTGTTAGTTAGATGTTAAATGACCTGATGGCGGAGATCTTGCTGCCACTGCTATGCAGTGTCAGATTTGACCATTGATAGTTATCCTTGTATACCTTTGTGAACTTTGTTCAAAACATTGGAGAGACTGCAATCATATTGAACTGTTTCACATTGTTTTGTCAGTTATTACTTGCTGAAATAATGCACACTCATTTTAAATCAATGATTATTTCGAAGCATAAAAGTACAAAAGATGTGAACGCATTAGAGAGAATGTAGAAGTGATTGACAAGAATGGTTCCAGGGAGGAGGATCTTCAGTTGTGAGGATAGATTAAAGAAGTTGGGACTGTTTATCTTGGAGAGAAGAAGGCTGAGAGGAGATCTGTTCGAGGTTTTCAACATCATGAGTGTGCTCGCTAGAGGAGGTGGGAGAATTTGTTCCCACTTGTAAGACAAACAGAAATGAGAGGGCACAGATTTAAAGTGATGTACAAAAGAAGCGAGGGTGACAAAAACCTTTTCACACAGTGAGTACTTAGGGTATGGAATGCATTGCCTGGAAATGTGCTGGAGGTTCAATTTGAGGCATTCAAGGGACATCGGATTATTATTTGGATGGATGTAGTGCGCAAAGGTATGGGGAAACAGCAGGAGATTGGCACTAGGTAATCATGTTTGTTTGAAGTGCCAGTGCAGGTTCAATGGGCCAAATGGCAGCCTCTTCAACTGTAAGAATTCTGCGATTCAGTTTTAAAAGTAAAGAACACGTGGCAAAATATCTTGATAAAGCTAAAATCATTCCAGTGGCCAATTTTTAAGTGAACCTTACTGTATTACAAGCAAAGAATTGTACAGTTACCAAGCATGCAACCATGGCACATGATTGTAATGCAATATGGATTATTCATGTAGATCTACTGTGAGAACCCTTAAATCCTATTTGACAGATTTTGACAACTTTCACGCGAGGATGTGTGTTGTGTTGAAACGCTTTGCACAGCCAAACAGATAATACACAACACTTCCTAATTTTTTTTGACGTTAATAAGCACTTGTTGGTTGATTGACCTGCTAACCATCTGCCCCCACCAGACACATCCTTTCATCCAGCTGTTATGTCTTCCATTATGTAACTTAATTTATTTCTTCCTCTTTTACTTTTTCCTTCCTTAATCCTATCCAGTCATGCTTTTCTCTGTAAATTTGCCCTCTTTGGTTGGAAATGTGGAACCATGTATGAATAAGCAGTGTCCATGCCAAACATAATCCCAAACTACACTAGTCCCACCTGCCTGCTCCCGGCCCATTACCCTCTAAGCCTTTCCTCTTCATGTACTTATCCAAATGTCTTTTAAACATTGTAATTGTATTATCAACCACTTCCTCAGTGCGAACCACTGTCTGTGTAAAAAAACTTTGCCCCTCATTTTTTTTATTTAAATCTCTCTCCTCTCACCTTAAAAATGTGCCTCCTACTCGTGAAATCCCCCATTATAGGGAAAAGACAGCTACCGTTAACTCAGTCTATACCCCTCATTATTTTATAAACTTCTATAAGGTCGCCTCTGAACCTACACGCCAATGAAAAAAGTCCCAGCCTAATACAGCATTTCTTTATAACTCAAACCTTCCATACTTGGCAACATTCTGGTAAATCTCTTCTGAATTTTCTCCAGCTTAATAGTACCCTTCCTATACCTTGTGTGATCTAGCCTCATGTGATTTCAGACCCACAACAATGTGGTTGACTTGCCTTCTGGAATGGCCTGGCAGTTCAAGGGCAATTAGGGATGGGCAAGAATCCCAGCAATCTCCACACTCCATTATTTGACAATTCAACCCTGGTTACTAAATCTGCTTCAACTGACCTTTGCAACTTTGGGCGTACTTGGCAATGAAGCTGCAGTGAAACTATGCCTTGAGCGCGCTTGAATTTTATGATTCTATAATTATGACTTCTATAAGTATAATTTGATGCAGTGTTTCATGGTACCTCGAAGGTCACTGACTCATTTTGCTCGCTCTGACATGCATTAGAACTGGAATCCCAGCCAGGAAACCAACTGGACTACTTGTGAACTAAAACAGAAAAAGAAACGAGAAAAGGATAAAAGTTAATGGACAGCATGAGAGTTCAAAACATGAACAAAGCATAAAACCAAATTGGGAAGAAATCCAGATTGGATGGTGCATGTGGTGTGGGCACTGTTGTATTCTTTGTGTATTAAAGGCTAATCCTACACGTGGGCAATCCATGAACTTTTAAAAATGTTCTTACGTACAACAAAAAGCTGCTGAGAGTTTTAGCACTGTCACATTAATTGTAATTTAGTAAAAGCAATTACTTGGGAGGCTTAAGGCATTCCATTTTCATGACCAGTATCTGTTGTAATACAGACTGGGTTTTATGTTCCTCTATAATAGGCCAGGCAGCATCAGAGGAGCAGGAAAGCTGATGTTTCGGGTCTGGACCCTTCTTCAGAAAGATGGTGATTTCTGAAGAAGGGTCTAGGCCGGAAACGTCAGCCTTCCTGCTCCTCTGATGCTGCTTGGCCTGCTGTGTTCCTCCAGCTCCACACCTTGTTATCTCAGACTCCAGCATCGGCAGTTCCTACTATCTTTTTATGTTCCTGTGTCCTGTGTGTATTTGGCTGGTGTGGGTTGGGGGGAGGTTATAATATAAGCCGGGTAGCTAGCAAATGACTTTCGTACCCATGCTGGCCACCCCTGGAACATATCCCAGAATATGCCAGGTGGCCAGGCATCAAATAAATACTTAAATAAATAAATAAAGATCAATTGGGCCTGTTTGCAAATCTGCTGACTTAAAAAGTATGCTGCTTACACCATAATACAGCTAATCTGGGAGTTAGCTGACAGACTATTTTCAAAAGGCCAACATGAACAAAGGAAGTTGGGGGAGTCACTTCATTTGTGGAGGGGCGGGTCTCTCTACAAGCACTGGGGGCATTCCAAAAAGATGCCAAAACATCTTTCCATGATGCTTGCCTGACAGAAACTAGCCCTTCTCCTGCTTATTTCCCCACACCATGGTTACAAAAAAATCCCTGCTGACACTCAAGCTATAGATTTCCACTCTGAAACCCCAAAACATGTTTTCTCAGGGCAGCCTAGCTCTGCTGGAGTGCCCATTACTGGGCTTTAATATACTGCCAGATATAATCGAATTGCCAGCCAATTAGTTTGACTGGGTAGGTCCTGAGGTCAAGAATTTTTCCTCGTTGAGGTTGTAAAGTCCAACCAACTAATAATCAATTCACCCTGTCCACAGCACATTTTAGGTCCCACGCAGATGCACAAGGAACACATTAGCTGGCTTTCCTTTCTTGGGTTTTGGGTCAGCATCTTGCCCCTTAAACCTTCTCCCATAAAATTCAGCGAAGTGTTTCCAATTCTGCTTTTAATTTTATTTGATCCATGTTTCAATCCAGTTTAGTTCACCCCAATCAAAATGCTTTAAAGACAATGTAAGTAGGAAATAAATTTTTTTGTAAATCCTATGTCTTTTTATGTATTTTTATTTCAGAAACTAACCTGTTGAATTTGTTTCTGCTTTAGAAAGTGTCACAATGAAATTGCTTAATGAGTAATTACAGATTTCTGTTGAACGACATGGTTCTGAAATTAAAATGTACATGTCCCTAACAGAAAGAGGGTTGAAAACTGACTGTTACCAAAGATGAAGTTCCAGTGCTTGCAGGTTCATGTAGCAGGCTGAGGAAATCATGGAATCTCTACAGTGTAGAAGCAGGCCATTTGGCCCACTGAGTCCACACCAAACCTCCAAAGAGCACACCACCTAGACCCACCCCCTACCCTATCCCTGCATTTCCACCCTAGACTCTATGGGCAATTTAGCATGGCCAATCCACCTAACCTACACACCTTTGGACTGTGGGGGGAAACCAGAACATCCAGAGGAAACCCACGCAGACCAGGGGGGAATGTGTAAACTTTACACAGACAGTCATCCAAGGCTGGAATTGAACCTGGGTCTCTGGTGCTGTGAGGCAGTAGTGCTAATCACTGAGCCACCGTGCTGCCAGAGGGCATCACCTTGTAACCAGTTGCAGATTGCCTGCTATCATTCAAGCATTTTATAAAAGAAAATACAATGTTGGCACAATTAAGAACACTTATGTTGATAAAGTAAAATATGAAGGAAGCTCCAGTTAGATTCAAAATGCAAATCTCATTATTTATACCAGACACATGGTTTGTTGCTCCATCACTCAGAGTTCCTGTAAATCTCTATACTTCTCAAATACAGTGCAATTTATTTTACAATTGATAACATTTTGTGTTAACAAGATCTGACTGCAAAGAAAAATGTTAGCTTCTGAGTGATTACAAATCATCCACAGTAACCACAGAAGTGAAAATCTCCACTTGTTTATTAAATCAGAGATTACAATTATGCTCTCTGAAATCTTTTAGAGAA